GTGGACTATATATGATGGTTAGAGGGACCAAAGTTGGTAAGGTGAAGGTGGTTGGACAAACCATAATTGGTAGATGATGGTGGTCCAACGAAGGTCAGTAGATGAGAGGTCAGTAGATGAGAGGAGGTATGATAGAGATCAACGGTGGCTTGATGAGTCATGGTGTATGAGCGATGGTTAGTCAATGATAGACTGATAGGTGGTTGTCAAATGATAATCAACAGATGAGTAGAATTCCAGCGATGGTTGATAGTCAGGTGGTGGTCTAACAGTAATTGACAAAGGTTTGCCTATGGTGGTGCCTAGATAGAATTATAAGATCCTTGAAGCATCAGATCTCTCTCTAATCTCTAGCCAAAAGCTCCCCTCATGTAGAGAGTGGGGGTCTATTTAGTTTTTTTGAGTGAAACACCCAGTAATATATGGAGGAGATCACAGGCTTGTTAGGAGAGCTCCATTGGATGACCCATACTAATTCCCTCAATCATGGAATATTTTTAAAATATTTATGTCTTAATGATGTCAGAATTAAGCAATCTTAGGCTCATTGAATTCATCTTGTAGAACCATTCAATATGACATTAAGTATGCCATATTTAGAAATCACCTGGTCATCTAATTAATACTTTGAACCTTCTAAATATGCTTCAGCCCATTTATTTGGATCCATATGGGCTTGGATTGGATCAATTTTGGTGGCATTTGGTTTGTCTCATTGAGATGTTCAATTAGAATATAAGTTTGCTGAAATCAGAATTTGGATGATCCTATATTTAATTTTTGAAGTTTCCAACTTGAATATGCCTTGAGATTAGTGCTGGATCAAGGCAATTTATGGTGATGCATCAAATTTATTTCACTTCCTAATATATATTTAAAAGTTTCCGAATTGAAACACTAATAATAAACAAAGTTGAAAATCTACATGTTAGATATCAAATAATTAATTTATATTTTGTGCTCGATTAAGATGATTTTTTGCGACATATCAAACTTATTTTACTCCCTAATATATATTTAAAAGTTGTCTGAATTGAAACACTACTTATAAACAAAGTTGAAAATCTACATGTTTGACATCAAATAATTAGTTTATATTTCTAATTAATCCTTAATTCATTTGCTAAATTATTTTTTTATTTTATATTATTATCTTTTACAAAAACTTAAACCAAAATAAAGTACTATGTAACTAATTTAACTAAAATCTAAAATTTAAAAAAAGAAATTGAATGGAACCAAATCAAATTATTTTTTAATGTTCAAGTTTTTTTACCAATATTTTGTCCACAATAGTGCCATTGGTAGGTCCTAAATCCTGGATAATAAAAATGGAGGGCATAATCGACAACCAGCATAAAACATGTAGAATAATGATGACATGAAACATGTAATACATTGTGTTAATGCTAGGGTGTTCCCTAAAAGCAACATGTTGTATGGTCCGAATACAGTGAAAAGTGTGCAAGGGCCGCTTCATCGACACCTGGGTGTAGTGTTAAATAGGCAAGGGTTTTCTTATCATAGATAGATGTAGGTTTTCTTACAAGTAAATTAATGAAATTAATTAATATTATGATTCATAGTAAGATAGTTTTTTTATGCATTCAGGAAACAAAATGGGTTGAAGGGAAGACTATGGAGATTGATAGTTTATAATTTAAACTTTGATATTCTGATAGAAGTTATACTATAAGTGGTGTAGGCATGATTATAGATAAGAGTTTGAAGAATAATCTTATAAAAATTGGTAGAATTAGAGACACAATTATAATTTTAAAAAATTGATCCTAAGATTATTAATATTGTAAGTATCCTCTAATAGGTTTGAATATGTATTTAAAATTAAATTTGAATGACAGAAAAGAACTAATATGAAAGATACATCTTGAAGAAAGAGTTTTTATTATAGGAGATTTAAATGAACATTTTGGTAGAGAAGTAAAGGATCTTAAAAGCATTCATGGTGGCTATAGATTTGGAGCGACCAAAAATGGTGGTAAGACTACATTAGATTTTACTATAGCTTATTATTTTATAATTGCTAATACCTTATTTAAGAAAAAATATGAACATTTCATCACTTATAAGAATGGATATAGTAAAACTCAGATTGATTATTTTCTTATAAGAAAAATAAATCATTTATATTGCAGAGATTATAAAGTTATTCAGAGTGAAATTTTATGTACTTAACATCACTTATTTTTTTGGACTTTAGGATGAAGGGGAAGAATATGAAAAATATATTAATATGTTGTTATATGATTAGATTATAACATTTAATGAATACTAACAAAATGTTTTTAGAGTAAAAGTTAAGAGTCTATGATTTTATCTGTTCATAAAAAAATAAATGTTATGTGGAAAAAATAGCTAATAATATTAAGAATATTGCAAAGAATGTGCTTAGAATAAAAAATAATAATAATAATAAAAATAGTTGGTGCTAGAATCAAAATATGTAAGAAAAAAAAAAATAAAAATAAGAAACTTTGTTATAATAATTAGTTTAGATGTAAAAACTCTAAAAATTGGGAAATATATAAATAGGTTCATTAGGTGCCTATGAAGGCAATCTACGATGCAAATATTTATCTTTTAATTATTTATATAATAGATTAGATACTAAGGAGGGTGAAAGATATATGTATAATTTATCCAAATAAAGAGATAGAAGCAGCAAGGATTTAGTTCAAGTGAAGTGCATTAATGATGAAGATCAAAAGTGTTTTTTTTTTAGAAAAGGATATTTAATAAATAAGGATGAGATATTTTTCCAAGATTTTCAATGAAGATTGTGAGAATACGAATGACTTTAGTGACCTTAGCACTCAAAATTAAAATAGAGTTTTTTTTATTTTTATAGGCGTATTAGTAAAACTATAGTTAGAGAGGCTTTAAAGAAAATGAAATGTGAAAAACTATTAAACCCGATGATGTTCTAATAAAGGCGTGGAAATGCTTAGGAGATGAAGGAATTTCTTGCCTTACTAAACTTTTTAATATTATTTTGAAGATTAAAAAGATGTCAGATGAGTAGAGAAAGAATATATTGATTTCTATTTTTAAGAATAAAGGTGCGCAAAAGATTGTGTGAATTATAGAGGATTTAAGTTAATGTGTCATACTTCAAAACTTTGGGAGAGAGTTATGGAGCATAGGATACGACATGATACTAATGTTTCTCAAAATCCATAATGATACTAATGTTTCTCAAAATCCATTTAGATTTAGGTTGGGTAGGTCTAGAATGGAAGCTATTCATTTAGTAAGAGGGTTGATGAACAATTTTAGAGAGAATAATAAAGATCTACATATTATATTTATTGATTTAGATAAAGTATAAGATAAAGTTCCAAGAGAAGTGCTATAGAGTGTCCTAGAAAAGAAAGGGGTTAATAATGATTATATTCAAGTCATTAGGGATATGTATGCAAGAGCTATAAGGATCAGCCCTAAGCCCTTATCTTTTTTGCTTTAGTCATGTATGCTCTTAATAAACATTTATAAGAGGATGTCCCTGGTGTATGTTTTTTGTTGATGATATTCTTCTTGTTGATAAGACTAGAGAGGGAGTTGAAGGTAAACTCGAATTATGGAGGTCAACCTTTGTGTCTAAAGATTTTCGTTTGAATAGATCTAAAACCGAATACATGGAGTGTAGTTTTACTGGTAATAGATCTAGTGGGGGTTTGTGACTTTGAGTAATCAATTCATTAATAAGTGTACTCGTTTTAAATATCTTGGGTCTATTATTTAGAGTGATGGTGAGATAAATGGGATATTATTAGTAGAATTCAAGTTGGATGGCTGAAGTAGAGGAATGCTTCGAGTCTGTTGTGTGATAGAAAAGTACCACTAAAATTTAAGGAATAAAAAATTATAAGATTGAGGTGAGATCACCAATGTTTTATGGTGCAGAATGTGTGTCATTAAAAGTGTAGCATAATATTAAGTTAAGTGTTGTTGAGATCAGGATGCTTAGATGCATGAGTGGATTTACTCTTAGAAACATGATACGAAACAGACATATATGTGAAAAGGTTGGAGTAGCTCCTTTGACAGATACGATTATAGAGAGTCATCTTAAATGGTTTGGTTATGTAAAACGATAGCCTTCCGATGACCCTGTTAGGAGTTTGATGTATTAGATTTGACCAATATTAAGAAAGGTAGAGGTAGACCTAAAACGATTTCGCTAGAAATTATTAGAAATGACATTTCTTTATTATATTTAAATGAGAATTTGACTCTTAACATGATTCAATGGAGAAAAAGGATTCATGTAGCCGACCCCGTATAAAGGGATAAAGACTTGTTGTTGTAACAATATTTTGGCAAGGGCTAGTTTTGCTAACAAGATGCTAACTCTGTAGCCACCCATAATATCTGAAAGATGTAAATGTGGGTGAATTATCCTTCTACACAGAGGCATGATAAACTCATGGAAATAATTAAATCAGATTGAGTCGAATGATTTAGATTAAAAAAAAAAGCTTTTAGTAAATTTACCAACAAGCCATCGAAATTATATAGGCATTTAAAAAATACATGAATGGTAGGTTAAAATTTGCTGTTATTATAACATTCTGGGTAACAATTTGACGAACTAGATATGATATAAGGAAACATGAATTAGATGTTATTCTAAGGTTTCGTTCCGAACAACTTTCTTCCTGCTTCTTAAAGCAGCTTTTTAGTACATAAAATTTAATTTTTGTACTAAAAAGTTGATTTAAGAAGCAGGAAGAAAATGGTCCGAAATGAAGCCTAAACCAGAAAATGTAGCTTAGTATGTGCATTTGAGTTGGATAAAAGATTTTCTTTTCTAAGAACCTTAATTTAAGAAAAAAAAAGTAAACAATTCATAAGATGAATTCCTGAACCCAACATTTGAATTATTTATTAAAAATTTGGTTCAATATCTGGCGAATGAATGCCTGAGAAAAGCTTGTAGTAGCAATGAAAAGAAATGCGAGATTAAAGTGTTACTTTACCTGAAAAACTTAGATAAATCTGCACAAATCTTTTTTGCTCCTCATGATCTATAAATATAATAAATATAAACGATTCACAATTATGCAAGATTTGATTTAACCAGTAAAATAAACATGTTAGCATATTAAAATTTTTTTAATAAAAACAACTAAAAAAATACCAGGATATTTATTGTAGTTCAAGATATGTGGTGTTTCTGTATGATAATCCGCAGCCATCTCACAAAAGTGATTGGCAATATCATATGCGATGGGGTTGAAACTTGCATACTCATAATCCTGAAAAAGATATTTAAATTAATTAAAAAATAAAAAGCAAAAGGATATCAGCATAAGTAGAAATAATAGCATTAACAAACTCACAATTATCGTTAGCATTTTGGTTTCCTCTTCAATCATTATATTCCCATACTGTAAATCATTATGGCAAAATCCTATCCTTTCTTCCTTTCCAGATAAGTCATTTTCCAAGCTGCTTATTTCCTTCTCAATCATATCCAGATTTATTGCTTTGATTTCTTCATAGGAGCAGAGTCTTCTGGCAGCGTTCAACCAGTTTCTGGTTTATCCAAACAGAAATTAAAGCCGTTTCGCTAAGCAAACATCAGTGATTATAATTGAAACAATCTAATAAATGCATATCTTAGCGACAATTAGATACCTTAATCTGTCCCATATGTGTACAGTGTTCGGACCTGTCATGTTCAGATCATGAAACTCTCTCAGTTTTGATGCAATTAAGGCAGATATTTCAACGTCTCGCAAGTCAGCAGCTGAGAGCGTCTGTAGCAAGAAACGAATCAGATGCTATCAATATTTAATTATTTTATAAAATAGTTATTATGAAAGTACTGCTATTTTTTTTATTTATTAAAAGTACTGCTATTTAATAGATTGAACGGAGTATTGTCCTATTAAAAATATATATTAAAATGATTTTCGGATTCATTTGATTTATTTTAAATTAATCTAATATAAATTTTTATTAGTTAAATTAAAAAAAATTGGGCAGTTCTCTCCGCCCGGTGTCCGCACTTACTAATTTGCTGTAGAAATGAGATTCATTTCCATCAAATTTTGATCAAGGTATTAGGATAGAAATTTTATATAATATTAAATGTTCAGTTAGTATATAATTAAAGAAAATAATTTATGAATGAGAAAAATAAATAAAATTAAATATCATAAAATTAATTTGTAGTTAGTAATATGTCTAATCTAACATTACAATAAAGCAGTTTTCAGCTTCAGAAAATTACATTTTATTTCTCTTTTTATTTTCAATATTATTTAGAACATTGATAAAATAATTTAGATACATGTATCGAAATTTTCATCAAATCATTTTAAAATTATTGGATCTTTTAATAAAAATATAATATACTTTTGTATGCATTACAATCATCCCAAAATAAATATATGATTTTTATAATACATTATAATCTTTTTTTCTCAAGATATACTGATAATAATTTTTTAAAAATATTTCGTTGACTATCATAAGGGATAATTAATCCAAATTTTTATTTTTTTTAAATGTTGAGCAGAAAATATAAAAGGATTTACAACAGAATATCCTTCTTAAAAAATAAACAGAATTATATTTTAAGCACTTAAATCTCTTTTAAATTCTATTTATTATACTTATATTAAAAAATGTATGAAAACTTTAAAACCTATTCTAATTCTGATTTTTTTCCTGTGATATTCCACAGTCAACTGCCGGACAGTGGACGCTAGCGATAGTAAATATTTACATCAAGATGGATCATATTTGGATAAAATTATACGAAAGTTTTCTTGAAAAAAGTATTTGTTAGAATATAATTAGGATAACTTATTCAAAATTTAATTTATAACTGCACCTTAACAATCAAATTTACCATTAGATATAAATTCCAAAACACCAGCAGCCTTGTTCAGGCTAGCTTACCTTGGCGTGAATGAATTCCTCGACTCGTCCATTAGGGAAGCAAGCAAGGAGGCGAGGGCCATGGCCGTGCCGAGACATGAACTCGAAGGTCTTGATCTCGTTGGCTCGGTCGAAGAAATGGCCGACTCCCTCACCATACATTCGCAACAGAACATTTCTCGACTTTTCTTCGCCGGCGACCGGCCATCGAATCTGGAACACCTCGTTGGTCATCGCGCCCTTGAGCGGAACCACCTCAAGCGCCCTTGAATCCTCCACGTCATCCCACGCTGTCGCCAATTTCTGGACCTCCTTCCTCGCCTCCATCGGTATCTGCCACTCGCCGGCGACGGCAGCCATTCCAGCTTCTAAATTTCTAAAGTTGCTTTCCTTTTTTTAGTTAAGCTGACAGCAAGCAGTATTATATATCTCACCGTTGCCTTTTGCAAATCTTAGAAATGGACGAAGAAAATTTAATTGTATATAAATAGGTGAAGATAAGAAGGAATCGAGGAGTGTAAGAGAATTCCAGCAGAAGAAATTGAAAGGAAGAAAAAGCAAGTTTGAGAATTAAAAGTTTGTCTTTTAGTTTTTTTTTTATTGTTTTGCGACATTCTACAGCTATTTTGTCAATCTATTGAGCCAGGTAGTCGGTGAAGAAACGAAGGAAGTCTATTTGTAATCAGTCACGTTGCTATCGTGGATGGGATGGGAGGACAAGCTCGATTTCGTAGGGAATAAGATTACCCATAGGAAGGGGAAGTTAAGGGACAAGTCCAAGATATTCATTTTTATAAAACTTCAAATTATAAAAATATTAAAAGTTGAAGTCTTTAGAAATTAAAAATGGTGAACTATATAATAAATATATTAGTGTAGGAATATCATTGATTACCGGCGGTTATCCAGCCGCCGTTAATAACGGAAGAAGTCACCAATACGCACAAGCACCCAAAAAGACACAATGGAAGAAGTCACCAATACGCATCCATTCAGTAATCTGGTAGTAGCATATTGTAGCATGCTTTCAGAATAATCCCAACTCAAATATCATAAAGAGCCTCCAAATACTGTTCCAAACTCTCTCTGATAGTGAGCAAGAACAAAGGTCCAAATCCAAAGCCATAATTACATGTAACGAAAACATGCATTATTAATGGTAAGAAAAACCAGGAAAACCTAAAAAAGTTTATAAGGTGAATAAGTAGCAATGTATAAAGTTAAGAAAAATACAACTACTTGATATTATAAGGCATATCATCCCTGGTCTTCCATCTCTTACTTTTCAGCCTAATCACAAAATGAATTTTGTCAATAATAATATTGCCAATCAATTCTTTATTCCTGAAAATATGATTGTTTCTTTCTTGCCAGATATGGTAAGCAGTAATGTGCACATTTAAAAGAAAAAAAATCTTTTTTTGGTGAATTTACAACCAATAGCACTACAAAAATATAAGATTTTACTATAATAATATTAAGACTCTTTTAAATAGATGCCTTAAAAATACTCTATTAAGTCATAAAAGTAACTACATTAAATCTAATTTATTTAATTTCACTTTAATACAATCATGACAGAGGTTCTCTGGCAAACATTTCTTTTATTGTCACCTCTCCCGTGAAAATGTCTACAGCTATCGCGCTCCTTTCTCTCTTATATTCTCGATCAATCTCGGCAGGTTGAAATCGTTTCTTCGTTTGTGCTCTTTCTTCCTCGATCCCACCATTCTCCTGCAAATCAATTGATTCCATCTCGAGCAGGTGCAATTGGTAACATAAGAAGTTTCTTGTCATCATTTTTTTTATTTGCTTCATCTTGATTGCACAGTTCATTTTTCATAGTTTCTTTTATGCAACTCACCATCACTATCTGTCTGATTTAATGTTTTGCAAAGTATTCTTTCCACATAGCTAGGGCATCGAAAATGCACAATGGTTTAGTGAGGCGAGCTATCTAGGGTTTTTGAATGGGCTAATATGTTGGGGATTGAGTTTTTCAATCATAAATATCACAAAAATATTTGACATTGTTTACCCTAAATAATAAAATTAGACATAATGTAGATGATTGTTGTAATCATATAACCCGATTTTGGACATACCTAACTAAAGTTGATGGTATTTGGAATCTTTATTGGCATGCTAACTATAGTTTTGGACTTCCTATTTTGAATCTTCATGTCTTTGGTCCTATCTTCATATTCTTTAGCTAAGTATTTTTTTAACCCTATACCTCTAACCCAAATTTAACATGTGAGCCAACTATAAAGAAAGATCTGCAGAAGTTAGATGAAGGAAAGAAGGAAGAGGAAGAAATGGTTTTTATTCTAGCATATCATAAAACATAGCTTAAGTTTTGGTTTCACATGAGTCTCTTTTTTATAAGTTATAACATTTGAGAGGGAGAGAAAAGGTGTTTGCAGGAAGTTGGTGTTAGTCTGGAATTGTAGAGAATGCGTAGCCTAGAGTTTCGGCTGGAGCAGGTGGTCCTCCCGGTTGAGCTGCAGCTTACAATTTTTATTTCAAGTGTGATAATAGCCCCTCATAAATTGAGAATCCATGGATTGGTTGGTTAATTTGGTCCCGAGCTAATGAAATCTGGTTGTGGTAATGGTTTTGTCAAAATATCAGCCAGTTGATTTATTAAGCTATTTAATGAATATATATTGCATTGTATTTAATATGCTCGCTTATGAAATGATAGTCAATATCGATGTGATTGGTGGCGTGGAAAACAGGATTATTGGCAAGGGACATAACTGAGATGTTGCATTGAAGAATGTAGTTGGTGTTGTTTGTACTTCCTAAAATTTAGCCAACAGTTGATGAAGTCATATAATATATGAGGTAGTATATGATAGATTATGATATTCGGCTTTGGTAGAAGATTTGGAAACTATGTTTTTCTTTTTAACCTTCCATGAGATAAGATTAGTGCCAAGAAAAGAGCAGAAACCACTAACAGATTTGTGATCGGTTCGGTTGACTGCCCAATCCACATCCACAAATGTTTGAAGTTGAAGCTCTGTATGAGTGAAGGGAAGACTGAAATGATGTGTGACTTTGATGTATCAGAGGAGGCATTTGAGGGACTGGTACTATTGGTTGGTGGGGTTATTCAAGTCTTGACAAATGTGATTTGTTGTGAAAGCAATGTCGGGTATGGTATCTATGAGGTACTAGAGTGATCCTGTGAGCTTGCGATATAAACTCGGATCAGAAAATGGTTGAATGGATTGGGTACATTTTGATGGTTTAATAGCTAATGGGGTGGGCACTAGTTTGTAGCTAGAGAAGCTAGAGGAATGGAGTAGCTCACAGGCATATTGTGACTAGTATAGAAAGAATCCTATTGAAGTGGGTTGGATTTGAATGTTGAGAAATGTGGAGACTAAGCCAAGCTATTTGAGAGAGAAGTCTGACTATAGTTTGAGGAGGAGCTGTTGAATGGTATTTTGATTGTTGTCGGTGAGCAATAAATCATATATGTAGAGGAGTAGATACAACCGGGTGTCACCATGTAAATATAGAAGTAGCGAGGGATCACTTTCTGAACGTGAAACCAAACTAAATGAGGCCTGATGTGAAATTGGTGAACCATTGCCATGGAGCTTGTTTGAGTCCAGATAGTGATTTGTGTAGCTTACAAACATTGTTAGGAAATTGGGTATCCATGAAGCCTTGTGGCTGTTTCATGTAGACCTCCTCAAGAAGATCTCTGTGTAAGAAGGCATTGGAGATATCAAATTTTAGAAGAGGTCATTTGCATATATTTGAAATGATAAGTAAGATGTGGATCGTACCCATCTTGGCAACTGGGCTGAAGTTATCTGTGTAGTACATCTTGTATTCTTAAGTGAAACCTTGAGCTACTAATTGAGTTTTGTGGTTCTCAACTTAATCATCGGGCCAGAGCTTAGTTTTAAAATTCTAGCGACATCCTAGGATGGGAGTGTTTGATGAAGCTGGAGTGAGAAGCCAAGTTCCCTGTTTCTAAAGAGTAAGAAATTCATTGGACATGGCCATATGCCATGGATTTATTTGGGCAACTTGCTTGTAAGTTGAAGTTGTAGGAGTTTAGTGAGTGGTGGCCATGAGATCGAAGATGGATTTTGGTTTAATGTGTCCGATTTTGCTGCGAGTTTGCCTGGGGTGTGTGATAAGAGATTGTAAAGAGATGGGTGGAGAGGTAGTTGAATTGGAGTTGGTTAGATTTGAAGTGGATCGAGTAACAGGTGGTGTGGTTTGGGAGGAGATCGGTTTGTAGGAGCTAATGTAATGGGTTGGTTAGTGGTATGTTGTGGTATATGAGAAGGAAGTATAGTGGATGTGGGGATTAACATGAGAGGAGATGAAGTTGTAGATGTTTGGGTAGGTGAAGGCTGGGTTCGATATGGAAGTTATGTTCGTGAAAAATGACTTGTCAAGAAATGTGTATTTTATGAGTTTTGAGATTGTAGCAGTTATAGCCATTGTGAGAAGAAGAGTAACTGAGGAATATACATTCTTGAGAGCGTGGTTGAAGATTATTTGAGGCTAAGATTCAGAGCAAAGGAAAGTAGAGACAACCAAAACTCTTGAGGTGATCATAAGATGGGAGATGACCATGGATGAGTTAAAAAGGGATTTGTGAGTTGCAAGCTTTGGAGGGTAGTCGGTTTATGAGATAATTTGATGTGAGAAGTGCTTCAGCCCAAAAATGTGGTGGTAGATAAGCCGCATGAAGGAGTGTTCTAGTGGTGTCCAAGAGATGATCTTTACGTTCAACTGGTTCATTTTGCTCTTGAGTGTATGGGCAACTGAATTAGTGGGATATGTCATTATCAATAAGAAATTTTTTAAAGTTATAATTGGTGAATTCATCGTCGCCTTTCGGAGCGAAGAGTTTTGATTTTTGTGTTAAACGTATTATGAATCATGCTAGTGATTTATAAGGATTTATAGAGAGTTTGGTCCTTGGAATGCATTAAATAAAGCCGGCATAAAAAAGAATACGTATCAATGAAGGTGACATTTGTAGTTGTTAATTGAAGTAACTGAAGAGGGGCCCCAAACATCTAAGTAAATTAGAGTAAAAGGAAATGTAATATTTGTTTTATTTAAATTGAAAGATAACTTATGGCTTTTAACGAGATTACATTACTTGTATAATAGAGAATGTTTGATTAAAAAAGTGTGTTTTTTGAAAAAGTTAATTTTCTTTGAGAATAATTAATTTCTAGAATTTTTTTTGTTTCTAAATTGAGCATATCATTATGAACGATATATCACCTTGAAAGGTGAACATATCATTCCTCAATGGGTTCAAATTACAAAACTTTAAATTTTATTCTGATTATTATTGCCAAACTCAGGGAAGAATCACATATGACCTCGAAGGGTCAAAATGAAATTTTATCGACTATTTGATTATAGTAATTTGGATAAGAGATTATTTATAATTTCATTATCAAATTTATGATAGTAGAATAATATATCTTCATGGAGAAAGAAGATACCATTTACTAATAATTATTTGA